AGAAACGTAATCCTTCACGTCAAGAGAATTACAAACTGTTTCCCTAAGATGATGAGTCAATTAACTATTACAATTATTGCAACCATTTATTTCAGTAGTTTGTTTGAGTCATTTCTTGTTGTCAATAACTCCATTCCATACACTTACACTAGCTTTAAAGGTGGGGTAGGTAATTCACTTCAGAAACACTTGTTGTTATAATTCCATGGAATGTTCTTAACATCCCGATAGCAATGAATAAATTAAATACTTTGACAATAAATACATAGAAAAATGTCATCTGTGGAAGCTGTGACGCTGCAAAAAGCACGACCAATCATCTGAGCCGGCCCGGCTAAAATAACTGGATGGCCTACCTGCCTATCAGCCTTCCATCTGTGCACAAACTTATCTCGTGCCCTCATTGGTCATGTGCGCGTTCGTGTGTGTTGGATGGGCAGATTTTTTTACGGTTATGTATTTTCAAATTCTAGCGCACTCAAGCTGGTTTCTCCATTCTTACCTACCCTACTTTAAGAGCTAATGTAACTTATTTCAGGATGCAAGAGAAGGGTTACCTATCACTATATTTTCTATTAGATATTGACTCTTTAACAACAGGGAAACAAGAAATATATATATATATATATACATTTTGGCATTTAACTGGTATTCACTTTCTGTAATTACCGTGACATTTGTGTTACTCAAAGCATGAATTGTACAAATGTTGATCATCTCCAAACTTTTCATCAATTTCTTAATTTATGACCAAATTCTTGCTAATGAACTTTCCTATCAGCCACAACTGAGCTTATAATAGTCAGAAAACGTGGTGAATGTCATAACTGGTAAATATAAGCATGTTAGCATATTGATCATATATAATTTAGCTAAAAGCAAAACTATGTCCAAGTACAGCCTCACACAGCTGCTGTTGCTAAGTTGCTAACACATCAGTTAGTCAGAAATGGTCACACACAGCACTCACCCTGTATGTGTTCTCATAGTTGCGGCAGTGCTCGGTGAAGGGGGTCTCCCTCCCCTCCGCCAGCAGCACCTTGGTGCAGATGTTGCGGTGACAGGTGGGCCTCCGCCCGCACACCGAGCCCAGCGGCATCTCACTGAGGGACGGGGAGCGGCAGCACACGGAGAGGGGAGACTGGTGCCTGAAAGGGGGGGGGGAATAATCATGATTGCTACTTTCATAACATGATGATGTAGCTATCCACGTTTTTTTAATTCTAAAGTAGGAATAAAGCCTAATATTAAAAAGAATGTACTCCAAAATGTACTGCATCCATAAAATGGTATTGCTGGTAACAGTCAGGTCTGATCATATTTTGTATTATTACCAGTTATTGGCATTAAGACCTTGCCATCTAAGAAATCAGTTTGAAAATTGTGTGCATATTTAATGCAAAACACCCAGAATTTCCATTAAGGATGCTCACTTCCCTCTATCATTCACTATCTGTCCTGTGCTAAAAAACACATAAACCCCCACACTACATTTACTTTGTATTTTACTAAGAAATTATAAATATATCTTTCTCTACTTTAAAAAACATCCAAATTGTTGTTTCTGTAGTACAGCCACTCGTGCTGCTGAACAGCTCCCGCTAAGAGCTTCACTCAAGTGAGGCTAATTAGGTCAAATGCTAACCCAACTCTTAATTTCAACTAAATCAATATTTAACTCATTCAATTTGAGTTGTTTGACATTTATTTCTAAATTCTCAAAGTTTCTTTTGTATGTATAAATGCAACTTTGTTGAAACATGTTGGATAAAGCTGTAACTCCTGGTGGTCTGCTGACTTCATTTTTTTATACACCCATGTTTCAAAGTAACCAAAAAAAGCATGTCCAGGACAAAAACACAACAGTTGAATCTATTTATTCACATGCTCTTTTGTTAATCTGGTTATGTATTTGTCCTTGTGCATTGTCAGACTATGTTTGCTTTTTCATAACCTAATTCTTCCTTGATCATAAATACCTGCTAAAAATTAAGACTGTGTCTGAAGTACAGTACCTCAGAACGCTTCTTGGCACTCACAACAGTAACACCTCTTCACTTTTGCCAGGACTATGAAAAAAATGTATGTTCGGCTGAAATCCAAACAACTACACAAACATACATTTCTGCTGGTATGAGCGTAGTCTTGGCTTCATGCCTAGCGCAGCATAACTGCCCTGAAGCCATTCTGCAGAAGCCTAGGTGTGAATACATTCCCTCACATTGCTGTATGAAAGTTGTCCCCAGAGCATGCAGCCTGTGTCCCCACACAGCCAATTAGAGACGTTGGCAGCACTAAAGCAGCAGCATCGGTTGTATGGAAGGAAATGGCAGTAAAACTTTGCTTCTGTTCTGTGATTTTAGAACAAATGGGGCGAGCCAGCTGGCCGTCCACCATCCCCTGCCCGCTTTGCATCCTGCGTTAGCTGCTCACAAGTGCAGGAACAAGTTTTCAGACAGCCATTTGAAGAAGTATCAGACACAACAACACATTCAGAGCAACAGGCTTCACGGTGTGGGCGGCTTTCTGAGTAACCATACGGAGAGAAACGGCTCATTTCCTCCTCCGTCTGTGAACTGAAGTACTGTAGAGTTCAGCACCTTGTGTAACGACTGTTATCTTATAGGGATGGGAATTTGAAAGCAAATGTATATTCGAATATTCGACCCCCAAAAAAACGGTTAACCAATTAGCCGAAATGTACATATCCTATAAGAAAAAATCGAAAAAATGTTGACAAAAAAAGAAATATTTTGAAAAATGAATAAATACATGTTCAAATAATTATAGAAACCAAGTGGAATTTATCAAATGTATTGAACTGGTGATCACAGTTTGAACAGTTGACAGCTATAGGCCTACAGCTTTCATGCTTAAAACATAACTTGGTTTTTAAATTAAAGAGGGATCATACACGAACAGCATAACGGGTCAGGGTAACGTAACCCTATCACAACAGAGATCAACAACCTATGACAGGGCCTATACACAGAATGCAGCTATTCAATACTCATTCTTGTTTAAGAATATGAGCATGTCTACTCAGGGGAGAGACGGGTGCGGAGACGATTCTTGAAATATTTGAATATTCGATTAATCGTTCCCATCCCTAATATCTTACACTGTCAACAGCATCAAAAGATACTGAGAAAAAAGTTTAAAAAACAGCGAATGGCTCTATCCAGTCTGCAAAACACATTAGTGTTAACCTGATCTTCCATAAATGTTCAAGAAAGTCAAATAAAAAATACATATTTATTAGGGAGTTCACACTGCAAGTCAAGGCACACGTCAGACGCTGTAACCCCTACTATACAGAGAATAAACTGCAATTAGGGCTGCAAAATAAATCGAAATTGCAAGTATTTAATTTATTTTAGTGCAATATCTAAATCATAGTAAGGACAATATTTGATAAGGCAAAATATGTGAAAATATTCTGAATGAATTATTGTGGTGCTGCATAGATACAGACATAATGAAAATCCTTGTTTGGTACAGATCCTGTTACAAAAAAAACCCACCATGGCATCTATAATTAAACAATTATATTTCAAAATGATAATGTAATTTTGCAATGACTTAAAATGCATTAATAGATTTAGATTACCTGGGCTCTGGTAGGCTACTACTCGCTCCTTCTTGCCCCGTGTCGATGCAACAGGCTAAAGCATGGATCTCTCCCCTCTGCCACACACATATCATCCTCTGGACGTCTAACCCTAACCCATCACTGACGCCAACTAAAGACTCGTTAAAGCTGTGACATCAGCGGCCGGGAACAAAGCGTCCCGGTTGCTCCTGCATGCCAACTTCCAGATGAATCCTGGAGAGTTCTGTGAAATAACGATAAAAATAGTGCCAGCCGGCCGGCCTCCTGTCCCGGCCCACTCTGCTCTGCACTGGCAGAGCGCTAGGCAAGTTGGAGAGGAGGGTTGTCAGTATGCTGGCATTAGTGGGTGGGCTTAAGGACCTGTGAACAGTTGGGGGACACTGATGTGGAAATTAAACCGGTCAGGGGAGTGTGAGTGTGTGAGGTGAAGGGACACGCAGCAGAAGAACAAGAACAAACATGTTTGTTCTGAGAAGCTCTAATGGCAGGTGATTAATGGACAAGCAATCTAGAATGGAAAATACTTTGTGTCATTGTCAGATTTTTTAGGTTGTTAGCAATTAAATGTAATGTATCACTTGATTTTTAAGAATGGGGGAATGTAGTGACTTACTGTATAACTGTAATTACTGTATTGAAGTAAAAATGTTGAAGTATTTTTATTTATACTACTCTTTGCTTCTACTCCATTACATTTTTAAAAGGCAATATTGTACTTTTTACTCCACTGATTATTAAGAGTAATCCGTAGTTAAAAGAAAGTAATTATCTAATAAATACGAATTAAGATATAGTTATAGGTTAAGATAACCAGCAGCAGTATAACACGATGTTGCACTTTCTTACCAGCAATGCTACACATTAGCATCAATAATCATTATTAATGAATCCAATATATAATTCTGAAATGATCCATAACGCATAACGAGTATTTTTACATTTGGTACTTTAAGTATATATTGATGCAAATACATGTACTTTAACATTTTAATTTAGAATGCATTGCTTTTAAGTTGTAACAACATATTTCTACATTGTGATATTACTTAGTTTACTTAAAGGAAGGCTCCAGTCATTAGATAGTTAATAAAAACTTCAGTATTTAGTGAAACATTATGTTTAAACCATACCCTGAAGAAATCAGCGATATTCCCCGGTAAATAATGATTTTATAGCTCTTTTTTATCAAAACCTGTATATTCCGTAAGGCAGCTGCCATTTTGGCCATTTTCAGTAGTCACATGATCCGAAAAACTAGGTCGTGACATCATCTATGCGTTCACTTTGTAAACACGACAGCTCATTCGACGAAAACATGGCGGAGTATTTGAGTTCGGACTCGTCAGCCGAGGAAGAAGTTTTGAGCAATGTGGAGAGATTGGATGGGGGAATTCAGCCATACAGGTTCGAGCCAAGTGGCCAGAACCGTCAGGAATCCAGGGACAGTGACGATGAGGATGAACAGCACGGTGATCTTGCTGGAGACGATCCCTTTACTCGTGCAATTGATTTCGGGAGGCGAGTAGGGAGACCTGTACATGAATGGTGTACTTGCGATCGGTGTGTAGCCATGGACAATCCTCTTATGAACATATGTTGTCATGAGCTTGAAGAGCTTGAAAATAAACTGTTCACAGACGATTTGGATTGCATACGTTTACACAGGGAATTCGACACTGTGGTGTTAGAAAAAGCTGTATTGAGAACAGCACTGGTTGCCATGAAGGATGTGAAACGCACCTCTTTGGTTGAACCAATAAATGAAAGGTGGGTAAATTTGACGGGTACAGCCCTTTCTTCTTAGCATTATATACTTTACAATTATTATTATTATTATTATTATTATTAATGGACATATCAACTAAAGACATTTTATTTGGTTAGGAAGTTCTGGATTAAAGATTGAATTGACTTTATCAAAAGTTTTATAATGACGTTTACATTCTAGGAGGAAATGATTTTCATCCTCAATCTCATGGCAATATTTGCACAACCTGTCATTTACAGGAGTATTTGTGTATCGACCATATTCAATAAGAAGTTTATGGTTGTTAATTCTAAAGCGTGTCAAATGGATTCTGTCTACAATTGCATGGCAAGGACATGAAGGACAATGACAGATAATTTTCCAAACCAAAACTTTACTAAGTATAGCCATGATAAAATAAATCAAAAAGCATATCTACAGAATGCACTCTTTATAGAACAATGTAGGCTAGGAGTCCTAACACAGGGCTGCCAACATTTGAGTTCAGCTTGGAGTGAGATTGTTTTTTGGTGAACCGAAAAAAGAAACGTTCATGTGTACAGTGTTACAAATGTATTGAACATGTACAGGTTTTCCCATTAATGTACCGGGCTACAGTGGAATACGCATATACACAGTGTACCCGTAACTCTTACAATCAAGTGTTATTTTATAAGTGTGGGGGGTTCCTTCATATCTCCTCTACCCCTCTAGATAGAGATGAGGGGGAGCATGCCCCGGGATCCCCTCCCGTCCGGGGGATGCTCCCCCGTAAGATTTTTTTTTAAAAATATTGAAGTTAAATGCATTCAAACCTGTTGCACTGAGAGCAAAATGAATTATGTAAACAGATTTTCTTTTTCTTTTATGGATATTTACAAATCCACTTGGACCTTAATTAAAAATACTCTAGTAAATTACTTGGTTTGATGCCTCACTTGTTCTCACTCTTTATTTTGGCTGTCACACTTGTTTTTTATATGTGCTAATTATAAGTTCTCCTACATCTAACACATATCGTGGACCTATCATTCTAACCACGTATAGTAAGTTTCGCCAACACCACCGCCACTGTCAGAGAGTTCAATTT